TGTTTAAGTCTGTCCTATATATTGTGGTATATTTAACAGCATTCATGGCCCCTACTCACTAGTTGTCTGTAGCACCATATACCCTAATTCACCTCTATCTCCACAATTGTAATGAGCAAAAATGTCTCTAGACATTGCCAAATGTGTCCTGCAGGCCACAATTGCTACCCCTTTATGAGCCACTGATTTAACCATATACATTTGCTTTGTTGATGTGATTAATGCCCACTCGTGGCTCCTTTTATTCTATATGGCAGAGCAGTTGCAACAGAGACTATATGTTCTTAAAAATATGGGCTTTTTAAAGAAAATTTCTGCTGTTGGCAGTTTTAGTGCTTAAAAAATGCATCTTTCTATTATTACACTCAACTTTCTATTAATATTATTCTACTTCACATATAAAATATGAGTTCACAAAAGTTTATTTCCATTTCACCCCTCCTTATTGTTCTTCTATTTTTACCACACATTTTATTTCTATGTGTTTCATAAGCCCTAGTACATTGTCACTATGTTTTGCTCCTCTACTTTGTTTCTGTCTATGCCTTCAGTTACCAAGTACACAAATACTAGGCTGGCTAATATTATCTCATCAGTTGTCAGGTCACTCTACATTGTTTTCAGCATTATTTCCTTCCATTTTTTTTTAGTTTAAATAGTTTACATTTCTACATCTTTAAGTTCTTTTTTTTTTCTCCTGCACTGTCAAATCTACTATAAAAGCCCATGTATAGGCAATACCTCTTTTATAAGCATTAAAACATTTGCTAAAATCATACAGCATTGCAAGTAAACCCATCTTCATATATATAAAATAGAGCTCATAACATTCAAGCAAGATTTAAAATTATGCAAAAGGAAAAATAAATACTCTGTTAATGACAAGAAATTTGAAAACTCTCACTGACAAAGGACGGTGTGTCCTGAGTCCTGGAATTAGATTGCTACTCTTTTCCTGGATTCTACTGTATGCAGCCAAATCTGCATTTCTATGAATTGTCTCAGCTTTCACCCATGTGGCACCTAGACTAGGCATGCTGGAGCAATAATGTAATTATTTGATTAATATTTTGGAATGCAGAAGTCTTAGTATTGAGTTATCATTTCTATTAGACTACACTGTGATACATTTTCTTTGGATTGTGCCTGGTTCTGATGAAGGGCCTCCTGTTTTTCAGCCCCAATTTGTTCTGTATAGCTTCAGTTATTAGGATTGCATTACTTCTTTGGCTGAATCTGAAGTTCCTATTACAATATTCTGTCTAGACCTTCAAATGCTATTCTAGATTTGTGTCCTGACTTTCTGCTAAGTGGCCACCTTCTTTTTTTTTTTTTTTTAAAGATTTTATTTATTCATTTGACAGAGATAGACACAGTGAGAGAGGGAACACAAGCAGGGGGAGTGGGAGAGGGAGAAGCAGGCCTCCCACAGAGCGAGGAGCCCAATGCAGGGCTTGATCCCAGGACTCTGAGATCATGACCTGAGCCAAAGGCAGACGCTTAACGACTGAGCCACCCAGGCGCCCCAAGTGGCCACCTTCTTAGAACTCTACTTTAGCTTCTCTTTGGCTATGTCCTTCCTACATATTGATATTTCCCCTTGTTTCTTGGACTCTGCTTCTTCCAGGCACAGACCCTTTGCACTTATAAACATGGACCTTACCTATCTTGCTCACTACTGCAACCCTAGCACCATAACAAGGATTTGTCTATATTAGGTGTAAATGCATATTTTGCAGATAATATGATGTTAACTGTGGGCCTGAAGGGCCGTTACATTCTCTATGTGATCTGCATTGTTCTCTTGGCCCAATATCCAGTAATAGCTGGGTCTGCCCTCAAATATCTGTCTCACTCACTTTTCTGGACACTGAAGGAAGGGTCTAATTATGGGTAATGTGTGAGTAAACTGAAAAGTCTCCCCAAGAAAATCTGAGCTTTAACATTTTCTGGGTATGGCTATTTGGTTTGAAGAGATCTGTTTCCTACTCATATGTCTTATTGAATAATTACAATACTTTCACTGTTAAGTATTTCATGTAAAATATATTTTATTAGAATAATAGAGCACAAAATAACTTAAAATATTCATATGTACATGTAAATAGTGTTAAGAATAGTTTAAAGAATTACAAAATATGATTATTATCATCTACCTTTTGAGAAACCTTTGACACTAACATCTATTGCTTCCCCTAGCACTAATATTCCCCTCTTATCATGAGTAAAGTCTCTATTTACATTTTTCCTTAGGTTCTGTGACTTCCAAGGTTTATACATGGCTCTATTTCAAATCTGTCGCTGCAGGATTTGAGGGCTCTGTGTTGTAAGAAGCCAAAAAATGAGACTTCTCTTATTTTACTCTTCTCACATTGGTGTCTAGGACATAAGCACTCATGTAATGTAGCATGTTAGGACAAAGACATTATTATTCATCCTCTAAAACACTGTCTTCCTTTTCTCCATGTGGAAGAACATAAGAAAGAGAAAAATCACAGCCATGAAGAAAGAATTTGGCTTTAGCTCGTTTCCAAGAAGGATACATTTTTCCTCAATTCAATTGCTCTCCTACCCATTTTTCATTTACCTTTGAAGCCATATATCTAGTGCCGATCTGATCCATACAGCACCTATTAGCCACATGTGGCTATTAGGTACCTGAAATGTGATCATCCTGAGTGAAATATATTGTAAATGTAAAACACACACTGGATTTTGAAGACCTAGTACACAAAAAGAATGTAAAATATGTTATTAGTACATTTTCTTATATGTATTACGTGTTGAAATTATAATGTTTTAGATATATTGGATTTAGTAAAATATATCATTAGGATCAATTTAAATTTTTATATTTTAAGGTGGCTATTAAAACATTTAAAATTAAGTGTGTGGCTCACATTGGACAGCACTGTTCTAGAGGAGATCCTTATTAGTATCAGTTATTGGGATAAAGCCGTCATTAATCTGTTCACCTTGTTTAGGAAATGAACCTGTCAATACCGCTTTTTTGTGTTAATACTGTTTTGATGGGAGCCATAAATGTGTAAAAGTTGCATATAAACACAACAATGCAAAGCTTTCAAAAAATATATGTTTTAAATATAAAGATCTTACCAGTCTATCTTGGAAGACAAGACTTGTGTCAAATTTTCTCAGTCTTGGGTTTGTATATGCTTTAAATCCCCTGAGGTAGCCCTTTTTGTGCATTCTGTGTTCAAGTTTTCTAACAGCTAACCGGGGAGATCTAGGTTTGTTGTACAGTGTGACCATGGTAGAGATTAGTCCTGAAGCTTTTTGGTCCCTTTTGATGAGTAGATGTTAATATATGATAGTGTTAAAACTGGTAGACTTTTAATATTCCCTAAGAGATTGTAGCTTAAATTTACCTTAGCATATTATATCTTCATATTTATAAGGCCTTCCTGTTGGTATTATACACACTTTAAACCAAGTCATTTTTTCTTATGTTGAAATGTGTGAGAGAATGAGATTTTGGGGAATTCTTTTTGAGGTGCCAAAGAAAAAGGGTATCGATGGTATGAACCTAATTGGATCTGGACATTCTGTTTTTACTTTTGAGATATATAGTATTCCCAGTTCAAATGCTAATTATGTGCTTTTAGCTATTGTTTCTTAATTATATGAGTATATGTTTATTACTCAAATGTAGCTCACAGTGATATCCAGGAGCAGAGGAATGAAATACCAAGTTATTGTTCTTCATTGTGAGACAGAGGTTTGCTGAATGAAAACTTAATTAGTTCAAGGATGAATCAGTGAAGGGTGTAAGACCTAGATTTTGGTGAGACTATTAGTATTGGACTGTGGAGAGATTTTCCTTTCATGGTCAAACAAGGAAACACACTTATAAGTTGTTATTGAAGCACAAAATCTTATATTTAGAAAGAATCTTCTAAAACAAGTTATTCACTGTTCTGAGGTGTAGCAGATGAGTCATATGACACACAATGAGAACACCTCAGTTGTTCCCTAGAACCCACCTTTTTTGTGGTAGTTGTGCAAGGCTTACAGTTCAGACCTTTAACTCTATATCTAGTGGTTTCTTATATTGCCAGGTACCCTACTCCCTATAAGTACCTTATTCCATTTCTCACTCTCATATTTGTATTCCCCCCAATCAAACTTTGGGTTCCTAACAGCAACAATATTCTATTTTTTTTGTCTTAATAACTAACAGAATTCCTAGGACACAAAGTGTGCTTAAAAATGGTCCAATTAATATGAAAACAATGTTCAGGGATTATGTTTTCCATATTTTAATTATTATTACTGAATCATATATTACAATCCATAAACAATCTTTAACTCATTAGCAGAGCTATGTATGCATACCATAAATTATGGAAGCCTGGATCCAAAGATAAATGTGCAAAGCACAAACCCATTGGTGAGAACTTAGAAGTCTCTTGAATCTAGTCAAACTCATTGCTAATTGTTGCACAAATGAGAAATCTATGCAAAAACCCTCTCTTCTTCTCATGCCCATTTCCTAATGTCCACCCAATTGCAGACCCAGGTACAGACCAGTAGCAACATTCCATCATTCAGGACTGAAATTTCACTCCTATTCTTTGTCTCCAATGTGTTCCCTTCCATGGAAATAAGAATAAGAATGCATTACATATTACACAACTTTACGCCAAAGTATCCACACTTGTATATTCACTAATATAAATTCATGACATATTAGCAGCTATATATTTAGGAACATAAATTTCTCACTTTAGAACCTGCCTGAAGGAACCCCAGTATTTTGTCAAAACAGGAGAATATGTACGGGAAAAGCAAAAGAGGTAAAGATATTGTTAAAGGAGAAATGAAAGGGAAATTATTAGACACTTAAGTTTATTTAGGAAGAAACAATATCCAATTTACCCATTTTGAGATTGTAACTCATAGATATGAATTTCTGCCCACTCACCCATTGTTGATTCAAAACATCCTATATTAGGAATGCAGAGATCCAGTTGTCCTCACTACCACCCCCTATTCAGTAATCTCTGGATTCCTTGCTTGATCTCCTGAGTTCGCACTCCATAAACAATGGGGTTGAGGGCTGCAGGGATGACATGGTGGAGAACATTGAGCAAGACTGGCACATCAGGGGAGACCTTCTTCTTCACCACATGAGTGAGCACAAAGACCAGAAGGATGGTGCTGAAGAAGAGGATAAGGATGAAGTGGGAGCCACATGTGCTCAGGGCCTTGGCCACAGCACCGT